GTAGAGTTAGAAAAGATAAATATAAACATACAAAGTACTGTGAGGTCTCCAAATGTTATAGTTCATCCTTCTAAAAGGCTTACCAAGGTCAACCACAATTCTTTTTGCTATGCTTTGTTACTCTGAGACACTTCACAATAATTTTGAAATTATATATGATACTAGCTTTGAATGTATTACTTATTTGAACTCTTCAGTTTGCTCCTAGAAAAAGTCCTATTGACATATCTGTGAGGTATTTATACCCTTAGTTGGTATATGCTCTAGGGCATATTTCAAAAATGAGCTAGGAGCCTTCTGAGATGTATATACAGTGAACTAGAATAGGTAAATTCAAATCTCTGTAGGCTTGTCTAATTTTAGTATGAACAAAAAGGAATCATGTTCTATTTCATATGATGTCTTCTCACTTGAGAATTCTAAATGCATACTACTCAATTCATGAGCCTCCTGTGTATATTGTAAATGAAATGTTTAGGCCAAATTTTGGAAATAATCTATATTCTGCTGTAATATTCTTTTTAAAAGTTTTTTCTCTTAATAATTTTTCTTTGAATTTGATATATGTTTTATGACTGCTAATATTAACTCTGGTTTTGCACTTTACTCCTCTGTAAAAGTAATATTTTTATTTTCCTTTAGAGGAATAACATAAAACTAGGCCATGGCCACTCTTAACACTCAAGTCCTTACTTTTCAAATGAACAGATAAAAGCAGTCACTATTGTGTGGCAACTGGAGTCAGTTCTGTCTTTTCCCAAAACTCCATGATACTCATTGTAGCCATTTCTAGACATGGCATTCCAATACAATGCTGTAGTTCTCCCAAGCAACGACCTAGTTATCTGTGCATTCATTAGAGTAAAATGATATTATAGAAGCGAAGCTGTAGTGAAAATATTAGCATCTGTAAAAGAAGATCATTGTAGTCTTTTATGTTTAATTGATTGCAAAATATCCTTTCGGGATCCTTAAATGTAGTAATGTATAATGGTAGTAATATATAATATATATAATATATAACATAGTAAATATAATGGTGACAACCATATTCTTCACAAACATTTTTACTTATTTGCTATAATGTCTTGGGAAATTTGAGGAAAAAGATTGGATAAAAGAAAATATAGCCACAATTTAGTTACTATTCATTACTCCCTATCTCCTAGAAAATCAGCATTGTGATGAAGCCCAAGATACTATGAATGGTGACATATATAATTAGAATTATTTCCTCATATTTTTGATGGCTGTGAGATATGTTATTGAGGTTTTTTCACTCCTTAATACATGCATACTTTTAAACATTTTAGTTGTTTTTATTGTTTGCTTTATTAGTTTCTGACACATTTTGGATTTTTCATCTAAAACGTTAATCTCTGAAATTTTAAGATTATCCTTTATAGTTATTAGAGTATCTTGTAAGAGTTAATGTGTATAGTTAATTAAGTTGGTTCTCCTCCTTGTAAAGATATAGACATTTTGTCAGTGCTAGATAAACCTTTTTGAAATTCACTTCTCATTTTCTCTTTGAGTTTGAAATGGGGTCACATAACAGTTATCCATGTTTTATGCATAGAAATAATTTATGGTAACTAAGTATGCCTTTTTTTGTTTGTTTGTTTTGTTTTGTTTTGAGACGGAGTCTCACTCTGTTGCCAGGGTGGCATGCAGTGGTGTGATCTTGGCTCACTGCAACCTCCGCCTCCCGGGTTCAAGTGATTCTCCTGCCTCAGGCTTTCAAGTAGCTGGGACTACAGGCATGCACCACCACACCAAGCTAATTTTTGTATATTTAGTAGAGGCGGAGTTTCACTATGTTGGCCAGGATGGTCTCGATCTCTTGACCTTGTGATCCGCCCACCTCAACCTCCCAAAGTGTTGGGATTACCGGCTTGAGCCACCACACCCAGCCTAAATATGCCTCTTAATTTAGCCAATCTAAGGATAGTATTAGGCTGTTTTCTGCAGATATAGTGAAAAAGATCAATATTATATTTGAAGCAAGCTTTTACATCAAAGTTGTGATAAGTAAAGCATTTTAGACCAAGAAAAATACCTTGTAGTTTTTCTGAGCATTATCATTTTGTGAAAGTATGAATGATTAAGGCTGGGACTTTACCAAATCACACAGTTAACATGTATTTGTGAAAACACTGATAAAGAAAATAAACCAGAATACAATCTAGTAGAATATAAGTTTTAGATGGTAGAAAATTTGTCCTGTTTCTCTTTTTCTCATGACTAATAGCCACACAATAAATGTTTATTGAATATGAACAAAAGATAATTAAATGAATGAACTAAGGAATTATTTTAAACTTATGCTTGTTTGTGTGTAGTTTTACTTAAAATTTCTTTGTCTAATTAGAATAAAAACTTTAGCACTAAAATAAGTATTAAATGACTAGTGTATGAACCATAAATCTATGTCATTTCTTTCTTGGTAAAATGGTTAGCATATGTCTGCCAACCTGTTGCTGCTTAGCGTTACTGACAATTATATACATTGTAAATTATATATTTGGTCTCACACTGTTTTTATATATTTTTGTATTCAATTGGGCATGCTTATTGTTAGAAAATCTTAATTTTATTTTGTAGTATAAATTATAAAGTATGTAATTCTTCAAAAATTATTTTTGTGCCAAGGTGTTTTTCTCCATACAAGGTGAACAGATTAGGTGGCATTCATACAGCTATAAACTTTAGAGTTTTATTTGTTATAGGTAAAGTTCTGTTTTGCAACAGGAGCATTCATATCATATCACAAAATCGTAAGTTAAATGCTTTGAGTACTTTGACCAATGCTTAGTTTTATGTGAGGATTAAGAGGTAACAGAGATGAGTATGAAACACTCTTCTCATTGAAGCAGATATCTTTTCTCTCTCACTGGAAATTTATATTAAAATTTAATCAGATAAGTAAGTTCGTGATTTGCCTTGAGCATCTGTATATTTTTGGTTGTAACAAAAATACTTCATTTTAGTGCTCACTGCTAGATGTCTATTGAGAATGCATATTTCATAACAAATTTTAAAAGAAATATGTAGATTAAAATGAATTCTCAGTGCTATGATATGTTTGTGATACTTCTTCAGGCACATAGGTTTCAAAGAAACATACAAGGTACATGCTAAAGTTGTTGCTGACCTACACTATGCCTGCATCCTAATAGGTTGTATTTCAGCTCCTATATTTTTGACAAATAGCTGAGCTCTGTAAAGCTCTGTTTGTGGTGCTGAAACCTCTCATGATGTATGAGCATGTCTGGCTGATAAATTCTAATGTCAGCCTCTGTGTGATAGTGATTCATCAGGTTGTAAAATTTGTGTTTGGGAAACACGTTGAATTCGCAAGTTTCATGTTTTGGTTGTGTTAAAATTAACTCAATTTGTCCTTTTGTTTTAAGAAGTTCATGACAATTGCCTTCTACACTGTCAAAAACAGCTAGGATTTAATTGGAAACTGTCAATGCTATCACAAAAGAAATATCTAATATTAACAAATAAATTGATATGACTACAGTGCTGGAAATGTTTATAGGCCAGTGGGATGTTGATATTATGCAGAAAGCCATTGTAAGAAAAGTTAAAAGTTGCTTATGAGCAGACACAATAGCAATTAACATGAAAGCTTTGTAACTTTGAGAGATAAACAATTTGCCTATAAAAACTGTGGTATTGTATTGTCTCAGAATATTTGCTTTGTACAAAAATACTTCTGTTTTTTCAGGACTGTGGGGGTTTGTTTGTAAAAATGATTGAAATCCTCAAAAATCTTAATTCTCTTTTTTTAAGTGAAATCCTTATATTCCCTATATAAGATTTTTAAATAACTGCTAATGTACTTGGCACTTCAATTCAATGATTTGTAATCTTTTAAGCTGTGGGTTTCAGGTGCCTTAAATATATTCTTAGAGGACTGGACTAAAAAATTAAATTCTTAATTTTTTCTTTTACTTTAAAATAGTTTTAGAAGCTTTTCCTTTAGTTAACATCATTCCTCTTAAATTTGTGGCAAACTCTGGAAGTATCTGAATTATGTCATTTTTATATTGGGGTGAGCTAAATAAAAGAAATTTCAGAAAGTTGAACCTGTTAAACTTCTACTGCTAATCCTGTATGTTTTAGGGTGTAATTCTAAAATCTTAGTCTCGGACTGAAACATGCTGTTTCCTTGCCATGTTTCAATATAGTAAATTATTAAGTTATTTGCTTGTTATTTCAGTGAAGCTCCTTAACTGTTTTGAATCAGAGAGAGATTTGAAAATTGTACCTAGAGCATAAGTCATAATGAAATTTGGCAATAGTTTCTGCAAAGCAAGCAGCCTAGACCAGGCATGGTGGGTCATGCCTGTAATCCCAATACTTTGGGACACTGAGGTGGGTGGATCATGAGGCCAGGAGTTCAAGACCAGCCTGGCCAATATGGCAAAACTTCGTCTCTACTAAAAATACAAAAATTAGCCGGAGATTCAGTCGCATGCCTATAATGCCAGCTACTTGGGAGGTTGAGGCAGGAGAATTGCTTGAACCTGGGAAGTGGATGCTGCAGTGAGTCGAGGTTTTGCCACTGCACTCCTGCCTGAGCAACAGAGGGAGACTCCATCTCAAAAAAAAACAAAGAAAAAACAGAAGCAAGCAGCCTAAAACTAAGCTACTGCCAATAATTAAAATAAGACTTTATGTTGCTCAGATACTGAATTTATATTGTCTCAACCTAATAATTTAATCTACTCCAAAAGCTACTTGTTAAAATCCTTAAGTGAATACATAATTTCCTAGAGTTTCTGTCAATAGTTAAAGGGTTAAATACAAATTATGATTGCCATTTGATATTGATTAAATGCTTTCTGAAATCCGTATTTGAGACTTTATAAAAATGTAGGCAATCCCATCACCCAAGAAAAGTGCCTTACTCTTAGCATTCCAAATTTCATTATAGAAAAACACCTTTTAAAAACTTTGTCATTTAAATGATATCTGATCAGATGATATTTCCCAGAAATTACTCTTTATTTAGAAACAAAACAAGACAAAAGCAATTGATTTTAATCCAAAATGTATTTTTCCTTATAAAAGAGGTCCACATACTCACTGTGTCTACTCTACAGAATTTGTCCATTTTATTACACCATGTGTCAAGTTTATCTGGTCACTGCAAAAACTCGTGGCTAATATGTGTAATACAACACAGGAGGAGGTATTGCTCAGTTCAACTACTCTTATATACTTAAAAAAAATACAGAAATGTTTTTGTCCACTTTAACTGTAGTCCAGACATAAAAGTTACATGAAAGTTTTAGAAAATGGAGTTATTTTATTTGGTTGCCACAGTACCCCTTGAAGCCAGTTACTTAAAATGCTGACGTTATACATATTTCCATTGGTCAGGAGCAGCATTGGTGAAGCTTAAACTTTTCTCTCGAAAGTAATCTTTCTTTATGTTGTTTTTTGTTTGTTTGTTTTGTTTTGTTTTTAACACAACTGCAGTCTTTAGCTTTTTTTTGTTCGTGTTTGGAGTAGGTTTAGTTGGTGGTTTTTACGACATTTGTTGGTAAACCTATAACAGTTGCTTTTACTTTCAATGATGTACTTTTTTCTTTTCCTGCTTCCCAGAGATTTATCAGAGGAGGATAAAGCTCACCTAATGCAAAAGTTGGTTTCTGTAAGTAATTCCTCACATAGCTATGTCCACCATCACAGTTCATTTCTTGAGAGAGGCAGCTGATAAGAAATATCACACCAATAATCCCCAGAAGGCCTCCAAGACAGGCCATAAGTGTTGTGGTATTACTCTTTTCATACTGTTTTTGATCAGGGTCCAAACCTTTGGTGGTGACGTTTACACATTTTTTTCTGTTTTTCTGATAGATGGTGGGAATATCAATACAAATTTTATACTCAGTTGATGGGTTCAGATGAGTAAGATTATATACCTTGACATCAGATGGTATTCGAGCACTTTGCGCAGCATGAGAATTTTCAGTCTTGACAAAGGCTGTCCATTTAACACTAGATTTGAGAATTTTAGAACTTGCTTTCCAGGACACCAAAACTGAATTGGCCTGAATATCTCTTATTTTAATATTCAAAGAGCCATTGTTATCCTGTGGAAAAGATCCATCCACTTTGATCATAACAGACTTCAAGTCAGCGCCAACTAGGTTAGTTGCTATACAAGTATATAAACCCCCTTCTTTGGGAGTTATGCCATTTATTTCTAGTGTTCCTTCAGAATGGACATAGAAATTTTCTGTCAGGGTATTAGGCAAGAGTTTTTGACCAGAAGGTGTTATCCAGTAGATTTCAGGCTGTGGTTCTGCAGTAGCTCTACAGTGTAAGGAAACATAACTCCCAGCTTCTACATTTAGATTTGAAGGAAAGCTCTCAGGAGCTATAAGAGGGAGACAAATTTCCATCATGTCCCTGAAATGCACTTGCCGAACATTCTGACCTTGGAATTCAGGTGGGTCCACACAAAACAGTGAATCTGGCTCCATAAATCGAATGTTGGTTTTGTTCATATTAATCCAACGGATGACACAGTCACATCTGATGGGGTTACTGTGTATGCTGATTTCCTTGAGGTTTGGCAGAGACTCAATGGTACCATGGTACAGGGCACTGAGGGCATTGCTGTTCAGCATGAGTGATTCCAGCTTGGGGAGTCTGAAAAATGCATTGGGGTGAATGTAAGACAATCTGGGGTTGTTAGTAGCTTCTATTTTTCTTAAATCTGGCAGGTTATCCACAGCAAGACTATCGATGGAAATCAGCTCAGGCATATTGTTTATCCCCAACTCTTTTAAGTGTAGCATATTGCTAAAATCACCCCTTCGTATTCTATTAATAGGATTTTTATTTAGATCCAAAAATTTGAGATTTACAACTTTTTGAAGAGCAACATGGGGTACTTTAATAAGCCTGTTGTCATAAAAGGAGATGCTTTCTAAGTTTTCAAGTCCAACCAAGGCATTATCTGGTATTTCTGTGAGGTTTATACCAGCTATGACCAGGCTGCGAAGATTGATAAGAGGCTTAAAGTTCATGTCTTTGATTCTGATAATTGGATTTTCCCCAATCATCAGAATCTCTAGATTTGGAAGAGCATCAAACCACTTACTGTTGATCATCTGCAATCTATTTGAATTGAGATGAAGTCGAAGAAGATTATGTAGGCCAATAAAGGCTCCAGGTGAAATTGCAGAAAGCAAGTTGTGATTAATATAGAGTTCTTGTAAGTTGCTCAGTTCTGACAGACATTTTTCAGGCAGTTCAGTAAGTTTGTTTTCCTCTAGGTACACAGAAAGGAGCTGAGGCATCTTTTTTACATTAATATTGGTGACCGAAGATAAATTGTTTTGAGATAAATCCAGGCCAGTAAGGTTTACTGGAAAGTCTGTGGAGTATTCAATTTTTGCAATATTGTTAGTCTGCAGGAGCAGAATCTGTGTGTTAGCAGGCAATCTGGCTGGGAAAGTTAAAAGACCTAAATCATTACAGTCCACTGTAGATGCTTCCATATAAATGGATCTGGGTGTAAACCAAGGCCTGATTTCACACGTACATAACTGTGGACAATCCACTTTTTTATCTACAGCTTGTACTAGTGTAGTGATAGCTAGGCCAAGTAGCACATGAATTCGGAGTGGCATGTCCTTCATCTTAGCTTTCTTCTTCAGAAATGTAATGGGCCCTTAAGGATTCCACAGTCAGTGCTAGTAAGTTCAATAGGAGCTGATTGATAAGGAAGATACTTGCATTTGTCAAATGATGAATGCCATAGAACCACAAAGTTTTTCTTCACTGAAATAAGTGCCAGTGCCAAAATTGCATTGTCCAAAAATGTCATGCATATTGGAGAAGAGAAGGTTACTATTTTCTTAATGATATAATATTGATGTACTTTTTGAAGGTGGAGTATGTATAGATGGTCATAGGAGATTGAGTAATTCATTTATTTAGAAGTATAATATTCAAATCCCATGCTTGTTCAGTATTTGCAGGAATAGCGGCATGATGCTAAATGTAATAAAATGAAATATGAAAGAAAAAAGAGAACAATAATTAGTACAAATGAAAAATACCATAATTAATATCCATTAACTAATTATAATTATTTCATGTATAAAATATAATTTTAGAGTTTAAGTACTTCAGTATGTCTTGGTGACTTTATCATTTTCATGACTGTCCTTGATAATTCTTGGCCCAGACATTGGGCAGGCTGAGAAATTAAAAGGCTAAAGATTTATTATTTCAGTGAATATGTTTCCAGAAGTTTTCTGTTATTTCAAATCTTTACTTGTTTATACCTTGTGATTTTATTCATTATATTTTCATTAGCTTTGAAATTTAGTTATAGGGAAAAAAGGAGAACAACTTTTAAGTTTTTAAACTGTTGATGGCTTTTTTTTTTTTTTTTTTTTTTTTTTTTAGAGGGAAAATAAAAAGCCAATAAATAAATAATACTGTTCACTTATAACTAAATGAGTTAGACTGTGATTCAACAGGCTCCCAGGAGACAGGATTTAGAGACAAAAATTATAAAATGTTAAGTAAGCTAGATGTAGTGGTATTAGCTGTTTCCCATTTTCATTCATACTTCTCTCCATAGTCTTCTTTGCATAAAGTAACTTGAGTTTTGCAGTCTTCAGAGAAGATTAAGTTTAACTTGCTGTAGATGTATCTGTATGTTATCATTCTTAACTAAAGTTCAGAAGATTAACATTTGGCTGTTTTATTTTTCCCTGAGAATAACTTACCTTCCATTACTAACAATGAAAAAACAGTATTATTACATCACTGATATGGTTTGGCTGTGTCCCTGCCCAAATCTCATCTTAAATTGTAGATTCGATAATTCCCATGTGTTGTGGGAGGGACCTGGTGGACATAATTAAATCGTGGGGGCAGTTTCCCCCATGCTTGTGATAGTGAAATAAGTATCACGAGATCTGATGTTTTTATAGGGGAAACCCCTTTTGCTTGAGTCTCATTCTTTCTTGTCTGCCTCCATGTAAGATGTGCCTTTTGCCACCTGCCATGATTGTGAGGCCTTCCCAGCCACGTGGAGCTGTGAGTCCATTAAACATCTTTTTCTTTGTATTACTCAGTCTTGGATACATCTCTATTAGTAGCATTAGAATGGACTAATACCATCAGTAACACAAAGACCTAGATATTTTTCTTTTAAATGGATACCAGTGTCTTTGAAATATAATCATTTCCAACACCAAGTTGCAAATTTGATATGTGGGGATCCTTGTTTTTCTCTATGTTTACCTCACCTTCTGCCATTTTCTTGCAGGGAACCTTCTCCCTATTGATAGAGCTATGGTTGCATCACTCTGCCTGGAATAGTTCTTTCTTTGTTTTAAATTACTTTTTACTGTCTTTTCAAACCTCAGTTCAAGAATCTCCCCTCTGGGAAGTCTTTCATACAAGACTTTCATATAACCCCTCCCTCCAGATGTACTTAGCTGCCCCTCCACAGTGGTCCCATGGCTCCAGCACTTGCCTCTGTCAAGCATTTCCGTGATCCTTTCTTTCACCAGTCACTAATCTCCTTGAGAGCATGAGGCCTGCTTGACTTTGCATTCCATCTTCTGGGCATTATCATTATAATATAGTACATGTTCAAGAAATGTTTTGAATGAAACAATAAATTAATTTTATTAATAAAATCATTTATGCATCCTTTTACATATTAAGCAATTCAGTCTGCTTAATTTCTAATTTCAGTAAATCTATCTGTTTTAATGTGTGTAAGTATATACTAACATCATATTTGTGTTACATATATTACTAAAATCCAGAGATTAAAATTCAGGCTAGTACAAAGGAATGTTAGACTTTAAGAGAAAAGTTAATCTATTATATCTGTGCTTTATTATTTAATTTATCTGGTCAACATTTATTGAGCACTTTCTACATGCCAATTATTGAGTTAATAGCTAGAATAAAAAAGATGACTTAGATATGGTTGATTCCTTTAGTAAACTTTCAGTCTGGAGGGGAAACAGAAGTAAACAGATGGTTACAATTCCATATGCATGCTCATTTGGGAGCATATACCCCTCCGAATAAAACGAAAATAGAAAATAGAAATCTATTGCCCCTTTATGTCCAGAATGAAAGAAAAACCTAGGTACAAAGTCCAGTTGCATTTCTGTATGTTTCCATAAATCACTTAGCTGAGAATGAGAAACTATTACTTCTGTCAATTAATTGGTTAGGTCTGCTTTCTCCAGCAGAGCAGAGAGGTACCTATATTCTTCTTTAAGTTAACTAGAGGTTCGGAAATATTAAAGATGAAGCATTCTTTCTGGGGGAGTCTTAATATAATGTCTCTTTTTGTTTTGAAATTATCCCGGTGAGTGTCTTAAAATCAACTCAAATGTCTATCAATGACAGACTTGATTAAGAAAATGTGGCACATATACACCATGGAATACTATGCAGCCATAAAAAAGGATGAGTTCATGTCCTTTGTAGGGACATGGATGCAGTTGGAAACCATCATTCTCAGCAAACTATCGCAAGAACAGAAAACCAAACACCGCATGTTGTCACTCATAGGTGGGAATTAAACAATGAGAACACTTGGACACAGGAAGGGGAATATCACACACCGGGGCCTGTCGTGGGGTGGGAAGACGGGTGAGGGATAGCATTAGGAGATATACCTAATGTAAATGATGACTTAATGGGGGCAGCACACCAACATGGCACATGTATACATATGTAACAAACCTGCATGTTGTACACATATACCCTAGAACTTAAAGTATAATAAAAAAAGTTATGTTTGTGTTTAATTAGAAAGTGTTTTCTTATTTCATCATTTACATAGCCATATGCTAGAAACAACTACATTTTGAATTAGATTTATTCTGAAAGCTTTTGAAAGTGAGGGTGTTTATAGTGGTGAGCATATTCAAATGTTGTTTCTCCTGGTCTGTAGGAAGTAATAGTATGGGAAACACAATAGAGAATATAGAAATTTATCCTTTCTTTAGCATAATATTGACTTTTTCTTATGTCTGTGGAAATGAATATGATACTTCACTAATATACTATTTAGTATGGGTTATTTCCAGGATAATAAGTAAGTAATAATTGTATCTTCTTAGTGCTTTATAGTTTTCAAAGCCTTTTCTTATTCATTGTTAATTTAATATTAATGAACTTGTGAGATAGGTTGGTGATGTACTTTAATCTCCGTTTTTTAATGTAAGGTTGGTGGGACCCATCTGCCTGATATCACACAACAAATAAATGGTGGGGTGGGATTAAAACCTAGTTTAGGCCGTTAAAATCAAACAATTGTAATAATTCTCATATCTTACATATCCAATTCCTGTGGACACTTACAGTTCGAGATTTCTTTACTGTGAAAATACCAATTGTTTCTTGGTATAATTATATGTGGAAGCTTTTATGAATAAAGTTACTTTTCCTTAGTAAGGAGATCTTCATTCTTTGTCTGTTTTTCATCATTTATGAAATACTGATTCAACACCTACTTTTTGGCAGGCATTATCGTAGACACTGGAAAGTCAGCAATAAATAAGATAAAATATCTACTCACCAAGTTTTCAGTGATCAAAGGAGTAAATAGCTAAGGACAATGATGCATAGTAGATTTGATTTACAATAAAAACGTGTGCAATGCTCTGTGGATGTACAAAGGAAAGAATGCTTAATTCTGTTCCTCCAAAAGGAGCAGCATGAATATTCTATGGTCTTTTGTGATACTTATACAAAATCAACTGGGGTATAATGAGGACATGTGGATAAGAAGATTTAAAATGCACTGTCTTTTAGATGAGTTTTTATAATGCTAAAGCTTAAGAACAAAGTGTGCCTTCTTCTTTGCACCTCATTATGTGTATTACAAAGACTACAGAGTCTGAGGAAAAGAAACATTTTGATACTTAAGTTGAAAAATTTGTGAAGAAAAAAATTGCCATGGGTACATTAAAACCTAGTTTTTCCTTTTCTTTTATAGCAAATTACTAGCTAAGTTCATTTATATAAAGAACTTGAATTGTATTCTCCCATTATCTGACTTCATATTCCCTTGTAAGACTTGATCTTTCTTCAGTTCTAATTGAAAGTTCCATATCCCAAAGGTATTGTTGAATTACACTAACTGCATCCCTATAAAAGACTGTTCTGTTTTCCTTGGGAAATATTTCTTTTCCAGTTTTTCGAAACGAATTATTTGAATATATATGACAACTTTCAGGAAATGGATAATGGTAACTATTTAGAATAGTTTAATGGATGATATCCTTAAAAACTGATGTTAATGAGAAATTGATTTAAGGAAAGAAAATTTGTTTTGCATTAAGAAACGTGGGCCAGGTTTACTGGATGATTTTGTAACTGGGGACCTGATACCTCACTTTCTGGTACCTCAGATTATTGATCTCTGTAATTTAGAAATTTGGCTACATGAGCTCTAAGATTCTTTCACATTCCAAATTTATGTTGTACAATTCTGTGAACATCAAAGATTTCTTTCCAAAGGTGTCTAACAATTGAATGTGTATAAACTCACTTATCTGAATTTAACCTTTGTGTTTTTTTAATTTATTACAAGTTTATATTCAATACTCTAGTCCCATGCCATTAACAAATTAGAATCAGTGAATTTTAGTCATTATGGGGCTTTTAATAAAGACTATCAAATTAGTTACCTGCCATTATTTCTATTTTATCTTTTTATCTACACAGTAGTAAACAAACGAGAGAGTTACTTTAGTCATTAAATTAAGGCAAACTGGAAGTAAATTGCCTCGATTAGAGCACTTGATCTGAATTCAGATGTGAATTCAAATTCCTTCATTTTGCCTCTATCAGTCTTAACCACTAAGTTCTACTTTCTGTCAAATGTTTATTTTTAAAATAGCACTACACATCTTGATATCTTTTCAGAAAGGTGTTTCCTCCAACTGTATGGGTGTACTGCCTTTTGTGTTATTGTTGTCGGGTGTTTCTCTTCCTTTGATAAT